TGTGCTCCACTCCCTAGAGCATCTGATCCCTGCTTGGGTCTCATGCCTTGTGATAAGGCCCTGGTGCCTAAGGTCACGACCTCTACAGCTGAGTTAATGGTCCTGCTATTTCCTCTAATCCCTACCTCCTTGTGAGTCAGGTTCTGGTGTCAGGGTACCTCCTTTCCAATCTTTCTATTCTGTCTGCTATAAGGCATTCCTATTTTGTGAGGAGGGGAAGCTGGGTCCCGAATGCTGGTGAGTATGGAGTAAGTGGCTCCTATAGCAATCAGAGAATTAATATCTTACCTGTGACATCCAGGGTTACTCTAGGCTTAACCACAGAGACCATGTCATTGGGGACCTGGTGACGTCCTTGGGCCCTATCACTTGTCATCCAGGAGGTGTCAGTAGTCAGTCTACTACAGGGCAGGGAGAGGGGCACCCCAGAAACCCCAAAGCTGCTTGCTCTAAATAGTTTCTTGCCATCTGCCGCATCGACACAAAACATTTAAGACTTTAATGGAAAGGAACTTTAACACAAATTAGTAAACAATACAGAAAAGACAAAGAATCTGTTAGAGGTCAGGGAGAAGGGCAGCCCAGACACCACAAACCTGCCTGCTCTAAATAGGTTCTGCCATCCGCCGCATCAACAGAAAACATATGAGACTTAAATGAAAAGGAACGTTAATACAATTAGTAAACAATGCAGGAAAGGTAAAGAAGAATATAGTCTAAAACAAGCATCCAAAGTTACCTGTCCCCTTGTGGGGAAAAGTCCCCAAACAGGATTGGCCTAGAGCAAGGCCTGAAAGCCTCTCCCAAGTCTAAAGCGCCTTTCCAGTGGGGACCCACAGAAAAGGATCAGAAAACAGCCAGACAAGTTGGGAGGAAAAGAGCAAATCAAAATCAAGACAAAAACAACCATTGTCACCTCCCCACCGGTCTCTCGCCCATGCTGTTGTCACCCAGTCCACGACCAAAAGGCAAGTGCAGTTTCTGCACGTGTCTCTCGGCTCCATGTGCCTCCTCCAGGTCTCCTTCTGGCTCCAGTCCTGCTTCCTTCCTTCTCAGTCTCCACTGCAGCTTCTTCTCTCCTTCTCAGCTCCCTTCTCTCTCTTCCTTTGGGTTGGGCAGGGAACCTGGAACTTCCCCTTTACCTGGGGACCACCCTATTATCTTGGATATCTCATACAGAAACACATATTTTAACTGTCTTAATTTGTTTAGGTGAGATGTCATTAAATTTTAGTTTTCTTAATAATAAGAAGCAAAAAAATAAACCTGCAAGCTCAACAATATTTAGAGAAAGTGATATTGTTTAACATTCTCATTCTTAAACTTAATAAGACCTTAGTTTTATATGAAATTTGGCCACCATTTAAATAATGATAAAAGAAAAAATTTAAGGGAGAGATACCAATTGTAGCTGTTAGTTTTTCTTAGGACAGGAATTTTAAATTAATTTCAGAGTTGCAAATTCTAACATCCCAAAAACCAAATTTCTTTCTTAGGCAAGTACTAGATAGATTGATGAAAACCAAGAAAAATAAGAGAGACTTAATATCATATACATTTCCTACATACCTGTGAGGAACACAGTGTTGCTAAGGAACTTGCCCATGAGGCTAGATTTTGCTAGGACAAGGGGAAAGAAAGAAGTCAATCTGGGATTTTTCTGGAAAAGAATTTTATCAAGAGATTTAGGACTAATCATCAAAATGCAAACTTATCTTTTTTGATGTAGACTAGGTCAATTACTCTTTTTTTTTCCCTGAATACTGTGTGCTTCCTTTTGAAAATAGAGACATTTCAACATAAAATATTGATACTCAACATGAAAACTGTAAGGCTTGCATGCTACAAATTCAACCATTAAGTTTTGATCTAGTTTTGATTACCAAAATCTTAAATCCTGATCTCAAATTGGGAATTTTTTATTAGACTTTATATAGTTGTCATTTATAACTAATACTCCTAAGGCATTAGTGATACAAACAGATTTTTTGATTTTTTTTTTTTAAACTTTGGTCATGTGCATTAGTTTTAAAAAGTAGTTATTCTTTTTTTTAATAAAATTTTATTTTTATATTCCCAACAATTGCAACCCCACCCCATTCTGACCCCAATCCCTCCCCTCCCGCCACCCACCCCCAAAAAGTGTCTCTGGTTCAAAGTTTTTTGTTGATTTTGATTTTTACTTTCTTATAGTTACTCATTTTCCTGGTCCCTTATTTAAGTTTTCTAGATTCCTGCTATGAGTGAGCCATCCGGTAGTTTGTTTTTCTTTCTGGCTTATTTCGCTGAGCATGATCCCTTCCAGCGCCATCCATGTTGCTGCAAACTGCATGTGTTTATCTTTTTTGAATGCTGAGTAATATTCCATGGTATATATGTACCACATCTTCTTGATCCACTCATCTATTTTTGGGCATTTGGGCTGTTTCCAAAGCTTAGCTTTTGTAAATAGTGCTGCTATAAACCTAGGGGTGCAGGTGTTCTTTGGAATTGATGTTTCTGTGTCCTTTGGGTAAATACCTAGGAGTGGAATTGCTGGATCATATGGAAGCTCTATGTTTAGTAGGTCCAGAAATCTCCACACAGCTCTCCATAGTGGTTGGACCAGTTTGCACTCCCACCAACAGTGCAGAGAGTTCCTTTTTCTCCACACCCTCGCCAACATTTGTTGTTGCTAGTTTTTTTAATATGTGCCATTCTCACTGGTGTAAGATGGTATCTCATGGTAGTTTTGATTTGCATTTCCCTGATTACAAGTGATGTTGAACATTTTTTCATATGTCTGTTGGCCATTTGCATTTCCTCTTCAGAGAAGTTTCTTTTTAGCTCTTCTGCCCAATTTTGACTGGATTATTTTCTTTGTTGTTGTTGAGTCTCATCAGCTCTTTGCAGATTTTTGTGATCAGTTCTTTATCATTAGTGTTGTGTAAAAAAATTTTATCCCAGTTGGTGGGGTTTCTCTTTGTTTTTGTTATTGTCGCTTTTGCTGTGCAGAAGCTCTTTAATTTGATGTAGTCCCAGCTGTTTATCTTTGCCTTCACTATCACTGCTTTGGGTGATGTGTTTGTAAAGATGTCTTTGACGTGCAAATCATGTAGTGTTTCGCCTATATTTCCTTCTATGTATTTTATGGTTTCAGGTCTTATGTCTAGTTCTTTAATCCATTTTGAGTTGATTTTTGTGTATGGTGTGAGGTAGTGGTCAAGCTTCATTCTTTTGCATGTGGCAACCCAGTTTTCCCAGCACCATTTATTGAACAAACTTTCTTTGCTCCAATGCATATTCTTTGCTCCTTTGTCAAAGATTAGTTGACCATAAATCTGTGGGTTTATTTCTGGATTTTCTATTCGATTCCATTGGTCTGTGTGTCTGTTCTTGTTCCAATACCATGCAGTTTTGATGATTATGGCTTTGTAGTAGATTTTGAAGTCTGGGAGTGTGATGCCTCCATTCCCTTCTTTTTTTTTTTTTCAGGAGAGCTTGGCTATTCGGAGTTTTTTGTAATTCCATATGAATTTCATCAATAATTGTTCTAGTTCTTTGAAGAATGACATTGAGATTTTGATTGGAATAGCATTGAATCTGTATATTGCTTTTGGTAGGATGGCCATTTAATAATGTTTATTCTACCAATCCATGAGCAGGGGATGTCTTTCCATTTCTTTGTGTCTTCTATTTCTTTTAACAGTGTTTTATAGTTTTCTTTGTATAGGTCCTTTACCTCTTCGGGCTCAGTGTCCAAGGCTTCCCCCAGGCGCTGAGCACGTGCTGCTGTCGCCCAGAATACAGGGCCCCCAAGGTCTACCTTGGCCAGCAGTACAACGGCCCCAAGGTGGACGTGTGGAGCCTGGGCATCATGCCCTACGAAATGGTGACCGGCACATTACCCTTCAGGGGGCCCAGCCTCAGGGCAATCAGGGAGTGCGTTCTGGGTGGGAACGTCCACCAGACCACCTACATCATGGTCCAGGGTGGGGACCTGCTGGCCAAAATGCTGGCACGGGACCCCTGGAAGCGCAGCACCCTGGAGAGCATCCAGCAGCACGCCTGGGTAGCAGAAACGAGCAGGGGACTCCTGCCCTTCAGTGAGCCGTCGCTCTGCACCCAGGACCTGGCCATAACCAAAGGTATGGAGCTCCTGGGCTACCAGAGGCAGGAAATTCGGGAGGCCATTGACACTAACAAGTACCGCGAGGTCATGGCCACCTACCTGATCCTCTGCTCCAGGAAGCAGGCGGGGGAGGAGGACTATGAGGAGGAGGGGGAGGAGCGGCTCAGGCGCGTTACCTTCCAGGTGCCGAAGCGCGTCACCTTCCGGGATCCCGGTTACCCTGATTACAAGGACTCCCCACCCACCCCCACCCCGCCGGCACCTGAGGTTTTGGGGAATATCCCAAGGCCGGGTATCCTGGGAAAGCACCCAGTGCAGAAGATTGGAAAAGATACCCACCCCACTCCCCCAGGCTGAGGTTTTGGAGAATGCCCCAAGGCCAGGTATCCTGTGAAAGCAGGAAGTCCAAAAGAGGGGAAAGGATGTCACCGCGGGCAACAGGGTCATCTCCACCAGGTCCCTGAGCTGGAGGATGCGCAGCAGCACACCACTGCTACAGGTCCAAGCCCCCTGCTAGAGGACACCCCAAAGGGCAGTCCCTCTGCGCTAGGCCCAGAGCTGGAGGATGGCTGGGGGGACACCAGCACCTCTGTGGCTAGACCCCAGCTGGAGAACACTGGGGAGCACGGCAGCACCACTGAGACAGGCCCCCAGCTGCAGAGGGACCAGGAAAGCAGGGCCAACACAATCAGTCCAGCTCCCCAGCCCTCCAGCACCACCCTAAGACGTACCCCAATATGTGACTGGCCTTCCAGTGCAGTGGCCCCTTCAGCAATCATCAGGGCCAGAGATAGAGTATTAGAAATTATCCTAGAATTTTGTTGCTGCTGTGCAGCATTGGAACTGGAGAGCAACAAAGATTAAAAATAGTGCCATACCCGGCAGAAACCCCCCACCCCCAAAGAACAAGCACTCAGTGGCCATGGTGAACAGGAGTACACCAGGGAAGGTTGAGGCTCTGGAGAGGCTCTGGGGCTGGGCCCAGTCAGAGGGGCCAGGAGCAGCATGAGACTCACAGGACTGCAGCACAGAAGTCTGGGCAGCACTGATGTCCCTGGAGCAGAGCAGGTGAAGGACCAGTCGGGCAACGAAACTGGTGAAGCATCTGGAGAGGAGCAGAGCAGGTGAGGGTTGGCGTGCGGAGGGGTTGGGGAGAGTTGAGCAGGTACAGGACCAGGAGAGGGGTGTGGGGCTGTGTGGGCAGAGCCTCCAGTGGTCCCAGGGCCACAGGCGAGGAACCCTGGGCCTCTCTCCCCCATCTTAGGCACTGCCCCCTTGGTGGGAGAAACCTGCTGCTCACCCCTGGGCACACAGATGGTGCAGAGGATGCAGGAGCTCTTGCAAAGGCTTGGGCCTGGGTGGTAAATCGTGCAGATTGCAAGGAGCACATAGATAGGCTCTCTAGCTCCCCTTAAGAAAGACTCTGGGACCAGTATATTAGAATCCAAACGGGACTCTCCAAGGTGGGCAGAGGTTATTCACAGAGCAGCCCTAATCCACCATGACCTGCTCAGCTGGAAAATCCGCACATCTTCCTGCTCCACGAAGCCTAGGCTATGATCAGTCTCAGTCCCGCAGTGAGCACACCTAGGTGTCCAGTGTCCCCTGGGCCGAAGCTGCAGCTCGTCATGGAGTACGTGCAGAAGGGATTTTGCAACTTGGGATTCTTACACGGTGTCAGTCCAGCTGGAATTTCTCCTTTTAAAAATCCTCTCCAGACGGCTACCCACCCTTCCTCCTCCCTGGATTCAAACCCTGCAGGGTGACCTTAGCCAAATTGGAAACATTAATATGCCCAACAGATGCAGGCTTTGGACACCATTCTCTGCCAATTAAATCACTGGGTACAGGAATGAAAAACTACAGGGGCTGTCTACCTTAAATTTGTGTTTTTTCATCATTGTTTAGATGGTGTTCAATTCCCTTCTAAAACTAAGGTTTTGCTAAGTCTGGTAAATGCAAGTGAGCTGAGGTATGTGTGTTTGAAAAAAGAAATGTATGGAAGAGGGATATTCTGAAGGGCCTTAAGATAATGTAAAGCCGGATGGGTAAAATGGAATGGCATTAGAATGAAAGCAAGCAAAAGAAAGTGTTGAAGGTCTGACAGGGAGGTTTTGGTGAGAAATCGTGTGTACTCAGGTGTCTCCCCCTCCTCCAACACATTCATGGGCTTGCTCATCTGACCAGCAAAGCCCCCTCTGACTGACCTTTTGTCAGCTGAACCTGGGGCCAGGGCATCCAAACTTGGACCAACTCTCCCTTACTGCCATGGATCCTTCCCATAGTAGGCCTGGTGATCATGATCATGCTTTTATTTGTTTCTACACCCCATTTTCTCTGCTTTATCCAGGAAAAGCTCTCTGAGATGAGCCTTCGCACTCCCAGACCTGGGAAAGCCATTCCTGTTATTGACAGATGAGCAACAGGGCGTTGCTCTAGGGGTTCTGGGCCAACCTACGCCAGTCCAGCGAGCAGTTGCTTATTTCTCTAAACAAATGGATCCCACTGTAAGAGGATGGCAGCCCTGCCTGCGTGCACTTGTGGCAGCTTCTCGTCTCGCTAGACCTAAGGCCTTAAAACCCACACTGGGCCAATCTGTAAATGTTAGTTCTCCACATGGGCTCCAGGACCTGCTCACTCATCAGGCTCTCTCCCCTCCATCACCCTCTTGTCTGTTAGATTTCTACTCTCTTTGTCAAAGACCGTCTCATCTCCCTCTCCCAATCCTCGACTCTCCATCCTGCCAGGCTTCACGGGTGTTCCACTCCCTAACGCAGGTAAAACCCTCTTCTTACTAGGGTGGACACCATCACCAGTTGGACAGTGGACCTGCCTTTATCTCAAAGATTACTCCACAGGTCTCCTCCCTGGGCATCACCTGGGAACTACACATTCCCTCCCGACTGCAATCCTCTGGTAAGGGAGAACGGATAAATGGTCTGACCAGAGACCACCTAGCCAAACTCTCCACAGAGCCCACAAATCCTGGGTGGAGCTGCTCCCACTGGCTTTAGTGCATCTCCGAGCCACTCCCCATGGCCCCTTGTTCCTGATCCCCCTTGAACGGATGTGTGGCAAACCTCTTCTTACTAACCATGAGCTCCGCGTCCAACCTACACTGTTGGCTGGATATTTTCCATACTTCTCTTTGCTCAGACAGCTGCTCCAAGAACACGCAGACCTTTGTCTGCCACAACCTGTGCCTCCGTCCCCTGATGCACCTGTCAACCTGCTGTGCCCTGGAGACCAGGTTCTTCTGAAAGCCATCTCTCCAAAAGCACTTCCGCCAAAGTGGATGGGTCCACACACGATCATCCTGACTACACCAATGGCTGTCAAGGCATCAGCTGTCCAGGGTCAAAGCGGTCCCTGTGGACAAGCAGTATGTATACAAGCACATGGGCCCAACTCAGGTTTGCATCAATGCATCCCTGGTCCACATCCCACTCAGCCTATAGAGTAGAGGCCCTCTGATTCTCCTTCCTCTGTTTCTTTTTTTTTTTTTTTAAAGATTTATTTATGCAAGCACTGGGTACAGTCAGAAACACAGGAGGGTGAGAGAACTCACCAGAGACAAAGCGAAGGGCAGAACAGGCAGACTTGACGAAGCACACTGCTGAGGGGAGCAGTGGGCGGCAGGAGAGGTCTGCTCGCCATGTGGGACCCTCGCCTTGAGGCCAGGGATTGAACCGGTGCTGTAGAGGCTGTGGGCAGCTTCACAACCCAGCGCTCATCCGTCAACCGCTGCGCCACCGGGGAGGCCCCTCTCCTTCCTCTGTTTCTAATCCCATCTCTTCAAGCCACTTCCAGTTCTTCTGTCTATGCCCAGCAATTCCAGATCAGCACAGCCTCGGACCAGGTATTACCACTCATAGGGCTTCTTATCCTAATCTCCTCATTTTTTCTTTTTGCCCCATGCTTACTCCATTTCATCCAACACCGGATCCAAGAACTGTCCCATACCACCTTTAACCAACTCCTTCTCCACCCATATCCTCGCGCTGCAAAGACTGTCTCATAACCAGGCTGAACGCCCACCCTGGTCTTCGCCCCTGTCCAGCAGGAAGTAGCCAAAGAGAGAACCATTGCCCCTTTTCAACAAAAGGCTGGTATGAAAGGTCGATGCAGGGGCCAGGAATGGGGAAGCCCACATACAAACAACAAGATGGCCCTGACACCAGTACCCCTGATTCCATCAAACCAAAACTGAAGCCATAAGCAGGAGAAAACAACTCAGCTCCACGAAAAAACAACTTAGTTCCCCCTAAGCCTGTTTCCCCCCGCTACCAACCCAGTTTTCCTGCCTAACCTCTCCTCACCCTATGAAATGACATCTCCCCCCACAACGGGCACGATTTCAGGGACACCCATCTTGGGTACGACGCTTGCCTGGGGGCGCAATGAATTGTCCCTTCCTTTGAGAAAGTCTAGCTTGGCTCCCCTTTTCTTTACTGCGCCAAGCTGTTACAGGGCAGCCCCGGTATAAAAAGGATTGTCTGACTGTTTCCCGATTCTGGTGGAGTGTTTCGGATTCTGGTAGAGCTGCCCGGACAGGGCCGGTTCTGAGATGGGCAGAGTTGGGGGTCCTGGAGGGCGGCATCCTGGTGGTGAGATGCTCTGTGAGGAGTCAGAGAAGCAGGGCTCAGAGGACAGGAGACTCGGGGGAATGCCCTGGGTGTGAGGTTTCCAGCTTTTCCCCCCAGGACCCCTCTCTCCAGCCTCTGGATAACAAAACCTGGGGAAACAGGAAAGTAGATCATTTTTTCCTTTTACAACCTATTTAGTATTGAGGACTTAAAAAAAAAACATAACATTTAATGAATACTGTTAAATTTACAGAAAAGTTGCAAAGATAGTACAGTTCTTATTCATCCCACACCATTTCCACTTTGTTAACATCTTACATGAATACAGTTGTATTTTTTTTTTACAGCTAATGAAGCAATGTTGACACAATTACCAAACTCTGTGCTTAATTTCATCAGTTCTTCCTAATGTACATTTTATGTTCCATAATCCAAATTGCCTCACTCAGTTACAGCCAGTTCTCCTCGATGTGCCTCTTGCTGACTGTTTCTCTGACTTTGCTTGTTTTTATAACGTTGACATTGGTGAGGAGTGATATTTTGGAGAGGTGTTGGGTTCACAGTTGGGGTTCTTGGGTCACGTCTGAGAAAAATTTCACCAGATTCCCCCTTTCACATACACAGTGAGTTTCCCCACAAGACAGAGACTTTTTGTCTGTGCCAAAGAGAAGTTTTATTATTTCTTTTTTTAAAAAAAGGGAAAGAGTCAGAACCCTGCTACCCTCCCCCACCCACTGAGTAGGCTCTCTCCGACCAACGGAAAGGAGGGAAAAAAAAAAAAACTGCAAGAACGAACTACAGATCAAGGGGGACACTGAGTAGAGAGGAACTATTTCAGGCACCGCACCCCACAAATGGGAACTGTGGAGAACGGTGAAGAAATCACCACAGAGGTGATCGAGCGGCTCCGGGCGCCATCAGAGGAAGACAAGGATTCCACGGAGACCTATAAATAGCCTAAGGCCAGCTGAGAACCACTGGGAAAATGCAAAGGTCAGCAAGGACAGGTCTCTGGTGCCACCTCATGACCAGAACAAAATCACCAACTAGCTGATTCCCTGTTGGAACTAAGTAAATACAGAGGGAGGGAACTGTAAGGGACAGTGCCCAGCAACACAGCATCAACACTCTGGTGGAGTGTTGTCTCCAGTGCCAGTCTCAGTCTGGTGAACAGTTTCCGACACCCCTAAAGGAGCACTCCAAAGAGATGGAAGCCACCCTTAGGACAACTTGGATCCTTCTCCTTTGGGGACTTGCTGGCGCGGGGTTGCACAGAGAGGAGGGGGCAGAGCTTGCTGGCTTTCAGGGCTGCTTCAGAACCCAGGGGTTCTCTGAGCCCCTCTGGCTGCCCCCCCCAACAGTAAATGGACTGAACAGTGAAGAGGAGGAGGAAGAGGAGGACAAGGGTCCCCTGACAAAACTAAGCATCCCGGACGATCTAGACAGCTGCGAGGCCATGGTGAGCTCGGCCCTGGGGCCCCTTCCCTGCCCCACCTTCCCCCTCCCACCAGCACACCCTTCTTCTTGGTTTCCCTCCCTTTGATTAAGCTTTCACCCACCTCTGCTGGGAGCCAGTGGGTAGACACCAACACCATCCTCGAATCTCAGGTGTGCCCACGGAGGCCCTGAGAGGTGTGCCTCCCAACCTCCTGCCGGGCCCACAGGGGCACCCTGCACTTCTGGCCCACAGGTGGCATTTTGTGACTCGGCCTTGGCCAGTGCTGAGGAAGAACAGGCGCGGCTACACAGGCAGCTAAAGGAGCAAAAGCTGCTCTGCTGGCTCCTGGCTCAGCAGGCAGCCCCATGGGACCAGGAGCCTGAGAAGATGGAGGCCCCAGCCCCCGGGGGGAAAGTGTGCCTGGGGAGACCCACCAGGCCCTTCAGGGAGCCATGGAGAAACTGCAGGTGAATGTGTGTAAGGCAGGAAGGAATGGCCACAGGGCAGGTTTTCTGATCCAGCAGAACGGGTAAAGGAGAAGTGAGTCCTGGAAGCCTCAGTGAATTTTGCAGACTTTATTGGGATTTACCAGATACATGGCAGGTAGGGGTGCTAGGGGGCCAGGAGGCTGACAGGCCTCCCAGCCCCCAGCAAGTCTTCACTCTTTCTGGGCTCTCTGGCGTTCTCTGGTGGTCTCTGCTGCTCTGCTCTCTCGGTTCTGCTTCTGCTTCTCTGCTTCTGCTGGCGTCCCCGTGAAGCCACCCTTAAAAGCCCATCTTAGCCCAGGTGAATCCCATCTACCTATGCCCACACCCTACTCCAGGTGCCCACATCAGGCATGCATTCGGGACCGCACGGTTCCATCATCCATCCTATGGACGGGAGAGCAGAAAAGCCTGATACTTTTACCTTACCCTACAGTGTGGTTTTCCGGAGGGCTGGGCGGGCTGGGTGCTGGGCAGGCCGGCACTGCTGAGCCCCTGAGCCCGCTGTCTGGCCGAGGGCCGCTTTACCGAGCTCATGCAGGAGAAAGTGGGCTTACAGGACTGGATGGAGGAGCTGGAGCATCGATGTATCCAGATGTCTGGAGAGACTGACACCATCGGTGAGCGGGGAGGCTTGTGCCCTGCAGCTGGGGTGCTATGCAGAGGCTGGGGAGACCCCAGCAGCTGAGCTGTCTGCGCGCCCTCCCACTAGGAGAATACATCGCTCTCTACCAGAACCAGAGAGCAGTGATGAGGGAGGAGCACCAAGAGAAGGAGGAGTCCATAAGCCAGCTGGCCCAGGACAAAGAGGAGATGAAGGTAGTCAGAGCTCTGGCTCCATGGTGGTGCGGCTGGGGGCAGGGCGGGCTTCTGAGCATCTCTGCTTCCAGGTGAAGCTGTTAGAGCTGCAAGAGTTGGTTTTGCGGCTGGTGGAGGCACGCAACGAATGGCGGGCGAAGCCCTGAGCACCCGCCCAGAACCCTGCTGCTGAGCCCACTAGCGCATGCCTAGTCCCCAAGAAGCTTGGCACCGCCAACGTCCAAGGTGAGGAAAGCCCCTAACGGGCAGCTGGTCAGGAAGAGCACACTCCGCCAGGCACACAGCATCCTGTCTCTGTCTCTCTGTAGGGTAAAGAAAATATCAGGCTTTTCTGCCCTTCCGCCATCAGGATAGATGATGGATCCTTATCCTGAATGCATGCCTGATGGCGGGCACCTGGAGTAGGGTGTGGGCATAGGTAGATGGGATTCAGCTGAGCTAAGACTGTGCTTTTAAGGGCGGCATCACGGGGACGCCAGCAGCAGCAGTAGAAGCCGAAGCTGAAGCCGGAAGAGAAGCCGAGATCACCAGAGAGCCCAGATAAAGTGAAGATTTGCTGGGGGCTGGGAGGCCTGCCAGCCTCCCAGCAAGCACCCCTGCCTATGCCTGGTGAACCCCAATAAAAAACCTGCAAAACCACTGAGGACTCTGACTCCTCCTTTACCCGGTCTGCATGGGATCAGAAAACCTGCGCTGTGCCCTGCTCCAGCCCTTACACTCTCTAAAGAACCAAGTAAGGTGAGCCTTGTCCACGATGTGCAGCCGACCCAGGGTGAGGCCCAGCTGGGCCTGACTCCCCTCGAGTTTGCCTCTGCGCAGCAGGTCGTTCAGCTGCTTCAAGAAATGCAGAAATCCCAGGAAGGCGTCACCATTGGAAACAACCCATGCCTTCCCTTCTTCTACCAGGCTGACGACAACGAGGTGAAGATAATGGTGGTCTAGGCCACTGGCATGGGGCCGGAGGCTCTGCCCCCACCTGGCCCTCACCAACCCATCCCTGTTCCCCAGGCTTTCCCCCCCATCCTTTGGCTCTCCTTCCCAGTCGTCCTTTCATCCCTCGGCTTCAAAAAGGGGTCCAACAACTCCCCTATCTAATAGGGTGAAATAGGTGCAGACCCTAGCCTCTGAGGTTAGGGCTGTGTCTTCATTTAACTCTGGACTAATCATACTTCCAGAGGCAAGGAGCTAGAAATATCCAGCTAGTTATTTAGGGCGCTCCGTTCTACAATATAGGGGCTCCTTGAATGACCAATTGAATCCTTACCAGGCCTTCTTGCAGAGGGCGTAGGTTATATTAGGCAATTTTGGGCCACGTGCCCCCCACCTCACCCCAACCATGTCGAGCGGGGCAGCACTTTGAAAGCCCAGCACGGGGGCTAAGTGCAGACAGAGATACCAGCTGGGGCAGGTGGGCACCAACACCTGTCTAGAGTGTAGCCACAGAGATAGCAGTGGTTTATTTGAGACCACCCAGATCCACAAAGGGGTGGCCTCCCCTGCTCCCTTTTGAAATTTCCCCATGGGCCTTTGCACCCAATTTTGTTTTTGTTTTTTTTTTTTGTTTTGTTTTGTTTTTAATTTTTTGTTGGACCCAATAATTGTTTTGATTTTTCTTTACTTTTTTTATTTTTACTTTTTGTTGCACCCAATTATTCTGGAGGTGATCCCTATCTGCAAAGGGGAGGCCTCTCCTACTACCTAGCAAAAGTCCCCATGGGCATGTGTGCCCGATTATTTTGTGGGAACCCACCTGTTAATGGGGGCTCTGCTCACTACACATGTCTTGCAGCTTGAGGTTACCCTGTCCCACTCACAAAAGTCCCGCGGGCATGAGGCCACCACAGTCCTCAAAGGGGTGTCCTCCCCTGTCCCTGCTCACAAAAGGTCCGCGGGCATGAGGCCTCCCCAATCTGCAAAGGGGTGGCCTCCTCCTTCCCCCCTCACAAAAGGCCCATGGGCATGAGGCCACCCAATCTGCAGAGGAGTGGCCTCTCCCGTCCCGCCCCTCACAAAAGATCCACAGGCATGAAGCCACCCCAGTGCACAAAGGGGTGGTCTCCCCCTTGCCCCCTCACAAAAGTATGAGACCACCCCAATCCACAAAGGGGAGAACTCCCCCATCCCCCTCCTCACAAAAGTCCTGCAGGCATGAGGCCACCCCAATCCGCAAAGGGGTTTCCTCCCCCGTCGCTCCTCTCGAATGTCCCACAGGTATGAGGCCACCGCAGTCCACAAGGGGGTGGGCTCCACTTGCTGTCTTTGCAAAAGTCCCGTGGGCCTCTGTGCCTGATTATCTTGGGGCCACCCCGGATTTGCAGAGAGGTGGCCTTCACTGCTTCTTTTACAGAAAGTCCCCATAGAGGGGATGCATGGCTTACTCAGGCAATTTGGGGGTACACACTCCCCCAACCCTGTGGAAAACTAGGCTTGGCCAGAAGCCGGGCCAGGGTGGCTGGTGGAGGCCAGGCAGGGGTGGCTGGTGGAGGCCAGGCTGAAGGCGCGCAGGCGCCCCACGGTGTACATACTGTGCTGGGACGTGTGTACATGGGGCTGAGAGGACCCCTGTATCACAGTGGAGGCTGCGGTGGCCCCTGGGAGAGGAGGTTTCTATGAATCAGTTGACATCGAGGAAACTTATTTATAGATCGCCCAGGACAGAGGAAGGAGGCAAGGCCAGGGAGTGGTTCCTGGTGTTTCACTTTTGTTTCTGAATAAACCGAACTCACCACGTGGTCGGGCCCTGGGATCTGGGCTCAGGCGCTGCGCTGGGTGTGGGTCCTGCCAGCAGAGGGCAGGCTTCGGGGTGCAAGGTGCACATTGGCGCTGCCTCTCAGGGCATCCAATCCCCCTCAGCTCTCTGACCTGTCCGGCCTGTGGGCTGCGTGCCGCCCCGGGAGGGCCAGAGTACTGGCTTCCAGCCTAGGCATTTCTCCTCTCACCCTGTTCTTCTGGGGCCCCCAACCCAGGCCCCATGAGTCCTCCCGGCTGGCACTCTACCCCTGGTGGCCACAGCAGGGTTCAGATGAAGACCAGCTAAGTCCAGGTGCTTTCCCGAGCAGCCTGGGAAAAACTGGGGCCTCCCAGGCACCCCTGCGCCCCCATGCTTAAACCTTCCCTTCCCCTTGAACGCCACAGAACACAACCAGCACACAACATGTTGCTCCCCATTGTTCAGAAATGGGTTTCATTCTCAGCCAAGAGACAGCAGGACTGGTCGCGGCCAGAAGCACACAGCTGCCGGGACAGCACCCCCATGCTCGGGGAAGGGGCAGGAAGGTGGCTGGGGGGGCTGACTGTGCACAGGCCGGGAATGGCAGTGAGGCTCGTCGGAGGTGGCACGTGTTGGCGGGGGTGGCTGGGGTGACAGTGTTTGCTTGTAGTTGGGCCACAAGACTCAGAAGGACAGCACAGCCGGCGGTTCCCAGCACCAGAGATGCGCGCTTGCACGTGTGTGTGTGCCCGTGTATTTATAGACATGCATAGAGCAGGGCAGGAGCAATACCACCGAGGGGGCACAAGAGTCACCGAGGTCACGCCTGGGGTGTCAGCTCACCACCACAACAGACTAAAGTCACAGATGAAGGGGGAGACATGGGGGATGGGGGCCAAGTCACAGAACAGTCACCCAGGCAGGCCCGGGAAGAGAGGTGTCCCAGGAAGAGGAGGGGTCTGGTTAGAGGCCAAAGGGGGCCCTGGGGCTCTCAGGATGGGGTGGACTTGCCTGACCCGATCAGCTGGCAGCTGGAGAGAAGCAGAGAGAAAACGGGGGAGGGCAGAGAAGGGGGAGAGCTGGGAAGGCAGGTGCAGCCTGGGCTGCAGCGCTAGGGGGGAGGTGGGGAGGGAAGACGGAGCAGGGGAGGGTGTGGGCAGGGGTTCTGGATGAGAGGGGAGGGGGACAGGGAGGGGGGATGCAGGAGCAGGAGCTGGAGCCTCTCCCTGCTCACTCGCCGGCCTCTCACACACACACACACGAGACAGTGCACCCGTGGGCCAGACATGTGATCGGCCCCCTCCGGCTCCCTCCTCTCTGTTCCCCTGTCTTTCAACCCACCAGCCCAGGGTCACCCTTAGTGTCAGGAGTAGGCGGCCTCGGGCCCCACGTGACTCCACCATTTCTGATGGAGAAAGACAGGGAATACCACTGTTTGCCCCGGGAGGGCAGAGCTGAGAGGATGGCTGGAGGGAGCACCGGGGGCTCCCTGGGGTAGGCAGAAAGCACAGTAGTTCCCCATATGGACCCTGGGGAGGCAGAGAGGGCAGGAGGCCAGATGCTAGTGGCCACAGGCTTATAAGTCTAAGAGGGGAGCCTCAGCAGGCTGGGGGACCACAGGTCGTGTAGGTGAGGCTGGGCCCTTCCTGGTGTGGAAAAGCAGAAGAGCAAGCATCAGTGTAGGTGTGCGGGGGCAGGCAGGTCTGTGGGGCAAGTTTTACTGACCAGCTTGGGTAGAACTCAGAGAAGCCGACTTGCCCAGGTCAGCCGACACTGAGGTCCCCTGGCTGAAAAGGGAGAAGTGACACTATGGAACAACAGGCCCAGGTCCATGGGCCTGCAGGCAGGCTTCGGTGCTTCACCTGGGGCACAGGGACTGCCGTGGCCCTGTGCTGGCGGGAACAGCAACAGCAGGCACGGAGGGCAAGGCGCTCTGTGACCTGCCTGGTTGCAAGCTGGCTGTGGGACGAGGGTGTGGCTTGGACCCTCAGGCTTTCCAAAGCCATCAGACAACCAGAGCCTTCCTGAAGGCGACTCAGTTTCCACAATAAGGAGGAGGGGTCAGACTTCCTCTGCCCTGTGGTGGATCCGGTTCCAAAGCTCCCAAGGTGGCTGCCCTGCCCCAGCAGCACACTCACATAGGGGGATGGGGGCTGCACCCCCAGCATGA